GCGCTCTCAGTGGTCCTGCCATTCACACACTTTTATCGGCTTCATTAATCAGCATGCTTGCTGTACTGCGCATGATCCTCACCCAAACTCTGACCACAGGCAACAATGGGAGTCCCCGTACCAGCAGCATTTCTGGTCTCAACACCCCCGCAGGCACAAGTTCGGCCTCCAGCAGTAACTTCAATCTCACTTCATCTCCACATTCGAATGGACTTTCTCCAGTGCGTCTCCTCCTAGCCATGCCATATTTAATTGCACTAGCAAGGATCCACCTACTGCAGGGTCTTGTATTTGGGCCCAACGGACCGTTAGGACCCCCTGGTATCTCTTCGCGAGGCATCAGTCAGCCAATGGGACCACTTAATAGGGGTGCAGGTAATTTTGCTACCGCTACTGGTGGAGCTGGCGGTATTATAATGGCTGGAGATGCGCATCACGCCTCGTTTTCTGCAAGACAGGTTCACGCACAGCAAACTTCTGTGCTTCTACAAAGGCATGTTGTCCTACTGTCAGGTGGCGTTGGCATCACGGCATCAGCAAAAGACTCCTGTATCTTCTATTACTGTCGTATTCGCCTGCGTATTCGTATCGACATGGGACCGTCAACGGACATGCTAGTAAGTCTTGAAATCTTTGGTTTCTTTCGTTCTTGTTTTGTCCAACGCATAAGCTCCCCAGTGTTCCGTTGTTAAAACTGACAAGAAATTTATTAGTATGCACTCGTGTATGGAGCTTTAAAACCTTTGTACTCACGTACCCTTACCGATTTGCACTTTGAATAGGCGTTTCAGTAATTTTATTCTGACTTTAAATTCGCAGGCTAGCTTTTAAATATGGAGGGTTACTCACTATATCCCGAGAACTCCTTCACAGGCACCTGCCTAATCGTATCGGGCCTTTTTGCTCTTGTATTAGGTTGTGGAACAAGTCAAGGTTTTAGTAGAGCGGAAGATTAATTTCGATGATACCGGTGATGGCAGTGTCGCTCTCGTAGACGACACGGCAATTCCGCAAGACACCTGACCAACCGAGTTATAGGATGGTGTTGTGGAATCGAGTATGACTGGAAATACGCCTGCCTATTACTAACGACCTTGTATGCAAATTCAATGAGTTCTGCATTTTTGAAAAAAAAATTAATCGCCTTTTTAAATTAGCGACGCGTTTGGGTGTGTGAATAGAAAAGTCTTATAAAGTATTTGCTAATAGTTCCCATGTCTTCGAAGTTCGGTCTGTTGTACTGCTTGCATTGGAACCTACAACCTAAACACTTATCGCGTTTTTGGTATTTGCATCGAGTAGAGGCTTTTAGAAGTTGCGTCTGCAAATTGACACTATCATATTAGTACGCCGCTGCGTATGTGATAAACAATTGGCGAAAGTCACTTATCATTTCCTTAAGATCAAAGACGTCAAAAGGCACGTAGAAGACGCAAACGTTTAACTTACTCTTCACCAGCTCACCAACGCTTGCATTTTAGTTTCAGAAGAAGGCGTTCAACCATAAATAATGCCTCAAATAAGATCGTAGATGAAAAACAAACGTTTCCTAAAAGTCACAAACTCACGAGATAACAGCAGTTATCCGCTGGAAACCTTTTTATGACCTCCATCGACCGAATGGGAAACTTTTTATTGCTAGTCACATCCTTAGTTGTCCGACCATGAGAAGAAATTTATCTTAGAAGCCTCGGGCCATTGACTGGTTGACCACCGCATGCTTTATTAGGCTGAAGGCAAACTTAGTGATTTGCGTGGGCGTTATTTTTAAGTAGACTTGTGCTGTAGCTCCCGCATCCTCCTCCCTTATCCACCTGTGTCCGGTGTCAAAACCGAGACGAGATCGGAAACCTGCTGTGCCCTGTTCGGCAGGGATCAGGTGGATGGTGCGACGTCAGCCTATCCCTACCACTTACCTTATCTGCTTTTAAACGTTAAAGCAGATTGTAAACTCATACCTCACTGGCTGACGAAGACTCACGCCTCATCGGTGGGCTCTACTGCGCCCAATCTATTTTCGTCGGCCCTCTGGGTAATAGGTTGGTCGACCAATAAAACGAGTTTTCAAACTCACAGGTCTAGCAAAATTTAATTAAAATGGTTTCCTAACCGGAGTAACGAAGACTTCGCATACCCTTAATCATACACCTTATCAGATATAACTTTGTGCGAAGCCCACAGCGTGTCTCCGCGTCTACTCCTTGAATATTAAACTGCACAGTCTGCAAATTTACTTAATCCATACATTTATATGCTTGCCAGAACAATCATATTGGTGACCGCTCAAAGCTCCTTGGCCCATTACCCCACTGTACGTCGATGCTGACTGTACTTTTATTTTTTTTTCAGAATCTGATACAGATTGATCGTCAAGACCCTTATGAACGTCAGCTTGATCTGTTTGCCCAGGCCTCCAACCTCCTTCGCAACCACTCTCCAGGCGACCTCTTCTGCAATATGTGGTTTAACCAGCTGCACCACTTGGAAGCATTCTGGAGTGATTATTTGTCTGGATTTCTGAAAGAGGTTCGTGTCCGCAAAACCGCTTGTAGACCTTGGTTTTCCTCTAGATTAGCTTGTAAATCCTGTGTTCGGGAGAAATGTTTAGCTCTTTATCTGCTTCGTCCTAATGCTATGGAATACAGACAAGCATCACAATGTTTGCCACCATAGGAGATTCCGTCCTTAACAGTTATAAGCGCACGAGGTACACGTATTTGTGCATTACTGTATATAGTGTAGCGATTATTGTCTTAGATGGATCATTGCCTTAGATGATATTTCCTTGAGACCAGTTTGGTGGTCAGCCTCCAAGTTTGTCATCATTTATTACGCTTCCTCTCTGGCTAGTTGGTATAAGAAATCATGTCTGTCCTGTTTTCCGGCAACTCTATATCAGAAGAGATTTTCTCAATTGGCCAAACCTTTGGTTACACATATTTTCTACAAATAACAGACATTATAACGGCCTTCAGTGAAGGTTGACTGCGAGCT